TATTTGTGATCTAAAATTTATTCAAACTTGAGGTGGTAAAAAATATTTTATCACGTTTATAGATGATCACAGTAGATATTGCCAACTTTATTTATTAAGTAGCAAAGACGAAGCATTGAATGCATTTGTTACTTACAAAAACGAAGTTGAAAATCAATTTGGAAAAACAATTAAGGTATTAAGATCCGATAGAGGTGGTGAATATAATTTGTCTATGTTTGATGAATTATGTGCTAAGTTTGGTATTATTCACCAAACAACAGCCCCGTATACTCCGCAGTAAAATGGGATTGCTGAGAGGAAAAATAGAACTCTAAAAGACATGGTTAATGCTATGCTTATAAGTTTTGGATTACCACAAAACTTGTGGGGGGAAGTAGTGCTAACTGCTAACTTTATTTTGAATAGAGTTCCCAATAAGAAAACTGGTTCGATACCTTATGAGTTATGGAAAGGTAGAATGCCTTCCTATAAATACTTAAAAGTGTGGGGATGCCTAGCTAAAGTGGCTATTCCATCTCCCAAAAGGATTAAGTTAAGTCCTAAAACTATTGATTGCATTTTTATCGAATATACAATAAATAGTAGTGCGTACAGATTTCTTGTACATAAATCTGATATAAGTGACATTCATGTCAATACAATTTTTGAATCTCGAGATGCTGAATTCTTTGAAGATGTGTTCACTAAGATACTCGTGAGAATACTCAAAAGAGAACATGAGATAATGCTATTGAAAACAATATAGAACCTGAATCAAGAAGGAGTAAAAGAGCTAAGGTCGCTAAATCCTTTGGTCCAGACTTTATTTCTTTCGTAATTGAGAAAGAGCCCTAAACATTTAAAGAAGCCGTGACTAGTCCAGAATCCGTATTCTGGAAGGAAGCTATAAATAGTGAAATTGAATCTATTATGAATAATAATACTTGGCAATTGGTTGATCTTCCTAAGGGAACTAAACCAATAGGATGCAAATGGATCTTTAAAAGAAATTTAAAATCTGATGGTTCAATAGACAAATACAAGGCTCGACTAGTTGCAAAAGGATATCGTCAGAAAGAAGGAATTGATTTCTTTGACACATATTCTCCAGTAACAAGAATTGCTTCTATTCGGATTTTAATTGCTATTGCAGCCTTGTACAACTTATAAATACATCAAATGGATATTAAGACTGTATTCCTGAATGGTGATTTAAACAAAGAAGTATATATGGAACATCCAGAAGGTTTCATAGTGAAAGGACAAGAGAACAAAGTTTGCAAACTAGTTAAGTCCTTATACGGTTTGAAGCAAGCTCCTAAACAATGTCACAAAAAGTTTGACAGCGTCATGATTAGGAATGGATTCGTCGTAAATGGATGTGACAAATGCGTATATTTGAAAAAATTCGAAAAGGCATATGTACTCGTCTGTTTGTATGTTGATGACATGTTTATATTAGGGACTAATATAGAAGTCATCAATTGAACAAAGAATATACTTACCGATAACTTTGACATGAAAGATATGGGTAAAACAGACGTGATTCTAGGAATAAAGATATCTAGAACATCAAATGGAATAGTCTTATCTCAAACCCATTATGTTGATAAAATAATTGAGAGGTTTAAGACTCATAATATTAAAGAGACGAGTAACCCATTTCTTCCACATATAGTTCTTCACAAGAATAGTGGAAATGGGAAACAGTAGTTAGAATATTCCCAAATTATTGGTAGTTTAATGTACCTGATGAATTGTACAAGACCTGATATAGCTTACTCGGTAAGTAAGCTGAGTCGTTACACAAGTAATCTAAGTAATCAACATTGAGATGCATTACTTAGAGTTTTGGGATACTTGAAACGAACCAGAGAGTATTCATTACATTATGGAAAATATCCTCCAGTAATTGAAGGATATAGTGATGCCAATTGGATATCGGATATAGATGAGTCAAAGTCTACCAATGGCTATGTATTTACTCTCGGTGGTGGCGCTATATCATGGAAATCTTCTAAGCAAACGTGTATAACTCGATCTACTATGAAATCTGAGTTTATTGCTTTAGACAAAGTAGGAGAGGAAGCAGAATGGTTAAGACATTTCATAGAAGATATTCCTATATGGCCAAAGCCTGTACCGACTATTTCTATTCATTGTGATAACCAGGCCACAATAGCCAGAGCTGAAAATTTTGTGTATAACGGTAAGTCAAGACATATACGTCGTAGACATAACATCGTTCGGCAGTTGCTCTCAAACGGAACAATATCAATTGATTTTGTTAAGTAAAAAAAAAACCTAGCGAATCCGTTTACTAAAGGGTTATCTAGAGAGCGTATAGACTACGCATCGAGGGAAATGGGTTTAAAGCCTAAAATCCAATGAGTCATCTTAGTGGAAACCTAACCTGGCAACTAGAGATCCTATGGACTAGGTTCAATAGGAAAACTAATTATGAATGACTCGATAAGAAGCACTTAGGAGTTTAACTCCTTCCCATTTCTATGATGCAAAAAGTGCTGACTATGAAGTGCATTAAGGATAAGCTTTGCTTTTAATGATGACTATAAATGGTACAAGTAATTACAGTAGGGTACTCTTTATAGTACATCACCTATGTTAGTGCGAACTTGGCCGGTTCTATGAGAATTTACTTAGGCAAATTCTCTAAAGCACTCGCAGAACCTAAGTAGTTCAGGGCCGAAATAATGAACACAATAGAGAACCAAGTTTGATATGAGAGATAATGTGTTTGGTCTATTGTCTAAGCTTGCAATAACGGTTGATAGTTCAAAACGTTGCGTTCACTGATTAGCCAAGTGAGTTCGATAGATTCTTACTAAAGAAGGTTCAAAGCGAAAGCTACCTATCTTGACGCGTTATCTTTCAGAAAGTACTCTTCTTCCGTCTTCCTTGATTTGAGTCGACTTCTTCCATCCATGTGGGGGATTGTTGGAATTAGTTGAATTTGATTTGGGTTTAAAATATTAAATGTAATATTTAATGATGTGGGCCATTGCAATTAATTTGGGCGAATTGGAAAAGTCTCCAATATAGGCCCATATGTTGATAAGCCCATTTTAAGTATTTTTTATATGGAAAAGAGTCCCACATCGAAAGTTTACAAGAAAATAGTCTTGTTTATATAGTGGATTGTGTGAATAATATATAATTTAATAAGTTACCTACCACTTGGCTAACTTTAGCTAGTCAAAGGCTAGTCACCACTAGAGTGGTACTTCGCACCACTCCCCGGACCCGGACCCGGTCCCGGCACATGCACGTCGCAAAGTACGCATTGGGCGCTTTAGAGGCGCACTTGACACTTCGCACGTACGCATCGTTGCGAGGAGCTGGGGAGCCTTATAGTTTTCAGAAATGGACTCGTGGTTTGATGACGTGGCAGCGCAAAGGCTCGGTGATTTGGCATTCTAGGTGGCGCACGTGTGGTAGGTCGCATCCCTTCGTCCTGCGTGGTAGTTAGATGTACGCGTGGCATCCGCATGGCTGTGACTGTTCAGAAATTGGTGAATAGGCATGATGAATGGACACTCCACTTCATAGTTCAATCTGAGCCGCCAGATCATGAAAATAGTGCGATCCAATGGCTAAGACGAATCAGACCAAGTGGTGCACCAGTTCCTGAAATGTCACGCACCTGTTCCATGAAAGACTTTAATCTCTATAAATAGAGACCCTCAGATTCGTTTTTTGACACACCAAATCAATTACGAATTCAATTGATTTCTAAATTCTTCTCTCTCCATATTCTGCTCTAAAAATTCTCTTATATTTCTGTGGTTATTCCGTTCGAGTACGATCTTTCATTGGTTCGACCGACAACGTTGGCATTGTGCAGTATTGACTTTGGAAAGAGCGTTGTATCTTGGGAGACAGACGTCCATAATCCCGTTTGCACTTCATTGGGGGGGCGAAATCTGTCTTAAAGAGATTTGCTTATTTTATTGGCATACCTCACTTCATTTACTGTTTTCTATTTTTCTGCTTATTTTATTTGTTCTTTTGATTGCGTTAGTCGAATTTCCGACAACATATATGAGACTACCAACTGTCGATACATAAGGTATCCTACTTAAGTTCTTAGAGCGTCGGATTCCATGTCTGAAGGCAAATTACCCTTCTTGAAATCTTGTATGGAAATTCTTATTTTGTCAATATATGATGCTTGGAAGCTGTATGCTTGTTCTTTCGATATCTTAAAATCTAAATACCTAGACCATAACTAGCTTCTCTTAAGTCTTTTATATGAAACTAATAGGCCAACCACGTTTTCTAGATGATAAGCTCCCACATCATTTCCAAAGAGTGGAATATAATCCACATAAAATAACAAAAAAATTATAATTTTGTCTCGTATCTTCTTATTAACAAAGGACTCCATTAAGTTTTGATCAAAACCATATGCCTTAATCACTTCGTCGAATCTTTTATACCAAGATCTTGATGCTTACTTTAACCCATAAATGGGCCGCTAAAGCTTGCAGATTTTGCTTTTATGACCACATTCTATGAATCCATCTGATTGTATCATATAGATACATTCCTCAAGATGGCCATTCAAAGTACCACATTAACATCCATTTTCCACACATCAGAATCAAAATAAGCTGCAATAGATAAGAAAAATCTGGATAGACTTAAGCACAACCATGGGCGAGAAGATCTCCTCATTATCGATGCCTTCTATCTAGGTAAAACCTTTAACTACTAGCCTTGCTTTAAAAGTTTCCACTTTTCCATCTGCTCCTCTCTTTTTCTTATAAACCTACCTGCACCAAATGAGCTCCCTTTTGGTGCATCTACAAGCTTTCAAACCTAATTGGAATGTAAATATTCCATTTCAGTATTTATAGCTTGTTGCCATAAATATGCATCAACATCATTCATAGCCTCCTTATGCATAGTTAGATTATCAACTTGTATGGTGGAGATCGCCTAATTAGACTCTTCAACTGACAAGTACCTATAAGGTGGTCTAATGACCTTTGACTTTATATAAGGAGCGATGAATCCTGGACTTTGGCATCATTTGAAATTTTAACGTTTGTATCAATGTTGGTATCACCATTAGGTAGTGCCATTACCTTCTCAATACCTTCAATGTTTACTTGATCTATGAGATTAGATAATGACTCATCTCTCTCATTCAAAATACATTGTTTAGGTATTTTTAATGCCAAGGATTGTCTGTCACAAGATTGTATTTCAAGAATAGATGGAATGAAATTGCTCCTACTCATTTCTTCCAACAAGATCTTGCTCTTAGATTTATGTTCATTAATATATTTATCCTTTAGGAAGGATGCATTTGCACTAACAAAAACCTTCCTAACTGAGGCTTATAACAATAATATCCCCTAGTACTTTTAGGGTATCCCACAAACAAGCATATCTTTGATCTAGACTCCAATTTTTCGGCCTTTCCTTTCAGTACATGAGCGGAACATTCCCAAATTTGAATGTGACGTAAGCTGGACTTGCTCCCAATCCACATTTCCAGTGGAGTCTTGTGAACCGACTTAGAAATAACTAAGTTAAGAACATATGGTGCTATTTCCAGTGCATAACCCCAAAATGAGGTAGTTAGAATTGTGAAACTCATCATTGACCTAACCATATCTAACAATGTCCTATCTTTTCTTTCTGAAACGCCATTATGTTGGAGTGTAGTAGGCGTAATCAGTTGAGAAATAATACCATTTTTGGTCAATTAGTCCCTGAATTCTTTGGAAAGATATTCGTCACCTCGATTTGATCGAAGTGTCTTAATCTTTTATCCAAATGTTTCTCAACCTTAGTCCAAACTCTTTGAATTTTCCAAAAGAATCTGACTTTCAAGCCATTAGGTAGATATATCTGAATCTAGAATAATCATCAAAAAAATGATAAAATATGCATAACTCCCTCTAGCAAGTGTATTCGTAGGTCTACATGCATCAAAATAAACTAGTTCTATTACTTCTTTGGCTCTATGTCTTTTGCTAGAATGAATCTCTTGGTCTTTTACCTTCCATACAAGAATCACAAACTGACAATAGTTCAACCTTAAGTGTGTTAAGTTGACCATTTCTAGCTAATCTTTATATCTTGTTAAGGTGAATGTGTCTAAGTCTAAGATGCCATAGATATGTATCACTAGTATTGTAAGACATTTGTTTATGGTTTGCTAAAGTAACATTTATTTCATTTGTGGCACTATTTAAAATATAAAGACCAGTCATCAAATATCTAGCACAAGAATAACTTTATTCTTTAAAATATAAAGTGCATCATACACAGAATTTACAGAATAACCTTGTCCTTTTAAATAGGAAGCAAAAATCAAATTTCGCTTCATCCATGAACATAACAACAGTCTCTAAGAATTAAACACCTACCACTACTGAAATTAAAGTAAACCACTCCTACTACTCTTACTGAAACTATAGCTTCTATGTCAACAACAATTTTAACTGGCCCTCACCGAGTCTTATGCTCTCCTAAAGTATTTGCATAGACATGCATATATAATTAGTGGCTCCAGAGTCTACAAGCCTGGAATTTGTAGAATAAACCACCAAACATGACTCAATAATAAGAAACTCACCAGCACCCTACTTTTTAGCTAGTGCATCAGGACAGTCTTTCTTCCAGTGTCCTTTGCAACCATAGTGGAAACACTTGCATTTTGACATTCTATCTAGTTTGGACTTTATCTTGTTGCCTCGCTTTTTGTTAGATCTCTTCCTCTTCTTTCCAACTCTACCATTTGGCTTGGAACTAGAGGAGCTGGCAATTGCCGCATGAGCATGGCAACCTATACCCTTAAAACCATTTTTTTCATATTTTGCAACTCACTCATCAAATCTGTCAATGGCATATTCATCTTGTACAAATGATAATCCACAGTAAGCTATGAAAACATATCAAATAAAGAGTTCAATATCATATCAACTTGAGTTTGTTTATCAATAGTTGCATCCACATTCTGTGTCACATTGAAATGTACAATATAGTTTAAATGTGATCCGTCACAAGTGTTCCCGAATTCATGTGGATGTTCTATAATGTACAAATGGCCTCAAAATGAGCCCTCCTACTTTGATGTCCAAACATACCCTTCAGGCTTTCCAATATGTCATAAGAGGCCTCCTGACTTTCAAGCTTCTTCTGTAATATATTTGACATGGATGCCAAACTATAAGAACAAGCCCTTTTGTCAGCTATGAATGACTTATCATAAGCAACCCTCTTGGACTTGCCTGTTGTCTCAGTAGGTTCCTCGAGACATTATTCTTTAAGTACAAAATCAAGTTTTTCGACAATAAGCACAAATATCAAATTACATTTCCAATCTATGTAATTATCCTCGACAAGCTGGTTTTATTTTAGAATTACGAAAAATGCACTGAGAGACATTTTGCTGTAAAATAACCATTTATTGCATATTAAAATCGAGCAGCGACTAATAATTTAGTATATGATGCATGAATGCATAAGTAGATTTATCTAATTACAATGATGCAACGATGACTTAATCCTTGTGATCCAACATGCCCCTCTATAAGAAAGGTCAACGTGTCTACTGATCAGGTTGAGACCATTCACTAGACAAATTATATTTGACAACAAATGTATATAATAAGACTAGCATCATTTTTATTTCGATTTGAGTATATAACCTTTGTCTCAATTTCTAAATACTTAAGAAAAATTTCACCATCTATAGGATGATCACAAATTATATTCTATCTAAACGATATTATCCTAAAGAAATCCAATAAAGCAATTGAACCCCACGGCCCTCCTATAGGGAGTTCGTTGTTTTATCGACACGAGGCAAACGTGTTACTTTTCTTATAATCAAAGGAGGCCATGGATTTTATTTAAATAAACACACTCACCTGCTCAATATTTAATGTAATGAATTTGAATTTTAAATAATTACCAATTGTTCACGTTAATAAGATTAATATACAATTTAATTATTATGATTTTTCTATCCAGAAAAATCTAATTTAAATTAAATTAATCAAGGAAAAATCGGTGTACAATGATATGCATTCTATTCACAGTATCAAGAGCGATGTTATAAATAAATCTATATGTCATGATATCAAGAATGACAATATTTCAAACAATATAAAGCATCCATAAAGTGATAAAATTAACAATTATTAGTGGCCCAAAATGACTTAAGAATTAAACTAAAAGGTAATTGGACCAAGCCCAATATTTAGTTTAAATTTTCAGCCCAAAATCTTGAAAGATCCAGCAGTAGAACTCCAAAAAATAGCAAAAGGACATTGTCACCATACTTGAAAAAGTAATTTTGAAATCTATTTTTTCATATTCGATCTGATTCAAAAAATGAAACAGAGAAAAAAATTATAGATCAAAATTAGTCGAAGTCTACACGACAGACTGTCTGTAATTTTAAAAAAATATATAAAATCTTAATTTTTTTTTCGTTTTTCGTCCTGTGTCTTCAAGTCTTTGTCTTCAATCTTTAATCAATTTACAAGATGAAACAACTAAAAGAATTACATAACTTTCTATGTCCTGTAGGCTCACAATTTTGAATCTAATTGAAACGAAAATTAAATTATGATAATGGAGTTGTAATTTACCTATCTTGTTACATACTAAAAAAACGAAGTATATCAAGAACTGGCCACAAATAATTAGATCACAATTTAAAATAATTCAATCATCACATAATAAAATATTCTTAGACATCGCTCGACTAGAACATGTGATCAAGATTTAGAAATAACAAGCACGTGAACGATCTAGACTGCCATGATACCAGTTGTTGGAATGCAGGAGTGAAATTAACCAAAAATAAAAAATAAAAAATTCAGTAAACAAGATTGTTTAGATGTTTATGTGTATGTTATATAAAAAAATAAAGAATTTGAATTTTTACCTAAAATCGATTGTCAATTCTTGAATAAATTCTTGATCTCAGACTTTTAATTTTTTGGATCACGAACTTCCAGCTTTTAAATTTCAAGAACTTGATGTTTTAAACCTCCAAGTCTACTAAAGTATTTTCCAAAGCTAGACTACACTGGTGGGTGTTCACTTTCTTTTAATTAAATCAGGAAACTAGACAATTGATAAAAGCAAGAAAAATATTTTTCTCTTGTTCTCTCTCCAAATTTTCATACTATGAAATTATGTATTATGATTGTTGTTGAATTTTTGTATCCATCTAGTCTCTATTTATAGAAGTAAAGATGTTACAATCCATATAAAATAATAATTCCATAGAAGTCTTAATTAAAATTCAAGTAGGAGTTTTAATTAAAGTCTAAATTCAATTAGTTTACATTTAATTATATGTGTAGTTCTAGAACTTCAATTACAATTATAATTAAATTTACAATTTTCATAGTAGTTACACCTAAGTACAAAACTTTATTGTAAATAGAATTAAGCCCAAAATATTATAATAACCGTGATTAAGTTCCATTACTTTATAGAGTTATTTACAGGGACTTGATCGGATATATATTATCCAAACTCCAGTAATTAGATCCTGTTTAATCGATCTTAAGCCATCCAATCGAATTATTAGTTTTTGCTTATCAACTAAAGGTAAAAGACTGAACACTCAGAATATTTAAGATCACAGAAGCCATATATGTATTTTATCCCCGTTCAAGATCCGATAATTAGGTACGAGTATAAATAATCGTTTTACCTTTCTAATGATTTTCACTAACTTAAAAACAATTTTATTTGATATAAGAATATTGTTAGTTTTATATCAGTCGATGTAAAACTGTATTATAGGGGCACACAACCCAACAAACGGCAGGTGAATTAGTTGGTGCAAGGTGAACTAATCGATGATCATTTACCTAGCTGGTACTTCTTTGGAAAAGTGAAATATGTACGTAATATCCTAATTTTCAAGTAGATCACGTACCATTGTTTACCAAACCTCTTGCATTCGTTCTACGTTGATTTTGTTAGTATTCTTGGGCAGGTGATAGATATAATGCCAAAAAAAGGTATTCCAGGCAAAAAGCAGAATCTCATATTCAAAAAATTGTTTTGTTGAATGAAAGGATTATTTTATACTTTTCCCTTTTATTTCCAGCCCATGTCATTCGCTAATGGTTGATTCTATACGTGCTTGTAGGTTGGAAATTGTAATGCTGAGAATGTGGAACAAATTTGTAGACAACGAATTCAGTACAGTCTCAGTTATTCTTAGTGGAAACCAGTTACTCTTGGAAGAATCCATGGCTGTCATCTTTTAACTTATACCCATATCCAGTTTTTATTATAAAGATATGGTAATAGCAGTAATAAGGACAAGAGTCAAAGATGATGAGAGAGAAGAAGAAAAGGGAAGCTACAAACGCACAAAGAGAATTTTAGAAGGCACCACACAAATCAGACGAGCAAAGTGAACTAGGGCAACAGTACTGTAAAGCCCTATATATAGTACACACATGCACCGTTGATTTCATATGATGATCTATGGTCTAGAGAAAATAGTGACATCAGCATTAAGTGGCAACTGAAGCTTCGCTTCCAAATTCGACTTCCACTTTTGTGAGTCCTGATTTTGGGCCTCTCATTGGAATTGTTAGGCAATGTACCAAGTCATTTGAATGGTCC